TTGAACAGATATACTGAGTGCGATGGATAAATTGTCGTCAAAATGCTGCAAAAATTAAAAAAAAACTTACATCTCATTTAACAGATATATTTACCAAAATTACACAAAAATATCTTGAATTATTCAATAATATCACTATTGGCTTCAACCACAGCCTCTAGACGACTTCGGAATTTCCTGCAACTCTTCTGGGCGGTCTCCTTGCAGTCTGGTGGCCTGATGTAAGAGGTGATGTGGTCGCAGAAATTGTCTGACTGCAATGACTTGGTTCTCCTGCTTGTGTGGCATGGTGCAGAGTCCTGTTGCCAGACATTGGGTCTTCCAGTAGCCACCCTCTTGACCCAGGCCAGCACTACTTCCTTAAGCCGCTTCATGTAAGCCGCAGTGTTGAGTTTGAGGCCCAGTCGGAAGATGGATGCAGGTACAATTTCGCAATCACTCTAAACATTTTCGTAATAACCATTAGACTACTCCAACCCTTCCAAATCCTATGCACTGTCCTCAGATTGGCACTCAAACACTCTGAAATGTTTGTATTGGAGCTTCCGGTGCGAATGCCAAGCAGTACAGCATGCTGTTTCCAAATTTCTGGTGAAGTGAATTGCATCATGGTGCTCTTTTTTTCACTGTGCAACTAACCCTACTATATTGTGCAGTTGACAAAATCAAAAATAAACAACGCGCATGCACAAAATCAAACAAAAAATATAAAAAGAGGTCAATTATATATACACACACACACATATACGTAAATTTCCAAGAGGATAGAATCCAGGTAGAACTCGATGTCCAGGACAGAGTAAGAATATAATATAAAAGGCTCAAACACTAATATTCCATGGTTATAATTTATTACATTGGGATCGTAATCATGATCCAAATCATCAGACCTACAAATTCAAAAAAATTAGTGTTTGAGCCTTTTTTTTTAGGTCTGATGATTTGGATCCTGATTACAATTCTGATGTAATAAATTATAACCATGCAATATTAGTGTTTGAGCCCTGATGATTGCATCTAGCATAAAAAAGACTGTCGCCTCTAAGTGTTGACTTCTATGTTCACTTTTATATTTACACATGCTCTATCTCTGATATTAAGCACTTTATCCCATAAATATAGCACATCTTAGACTATATCCCTTTATATATATATATATATATATATATATATATATATATATATATATATATATATATATATATAATATGGTGGACTCTCCCGTTGTATTCGATGTACAAGGGACATGCAGCTCTGTTCCTAGGAACCGACAGCCCAGACACCAGCACATATGATTTGATTATAGGGGTGAAGGCTTTGTGCAGAACCCACCACACTTTTTGAAGGGCCGAATACAGAGACCTGGTGCACTACGTGCCACAAGGTCCCCAAACGACTCTCCACAGGTTTTGAATTTAGAGTTGTCCTTCTCCTAGACCAGATGCCATCCAAGGCTATAGGACCCAGTCTGTCCTGCTATTTACCCATAGCTGGAGGAAGAAAAGGATTCATACCTTTCCCAAGGTTATTAGCATGTCAGTGAATGTAATGGGTTCAACTGGAATTCAAACTCTGCTCTCTGATTCCTTAATCCAAGCTGCTATCCACTACTTCACCGTGCTAGGGTAGATTTTAAGCTAGTACTTCTATATATATCCCAAATCTTGTTCTTTTATTGTCCTGTTCACTAAAATCTTCTTATTCTCTTTCACTCTCTGCAACTGCTTGCAGCATAGTGGCTTTATTTCCCTCCTGCATGGAGTGAAATGATTTCTAAAAAAAAAAAAAAAAAAAAAAAGATAAAGATTTGATTATTGTGGTGAATGCTCAGCCAGAACCAGCATGACTTTTTAGAAGAGCTAAATACATAGAATTGGTGCACATAGTCTGGCACAAGGTCCTCAAACCACTCTCCTCAGGCTTTGTATTCAGAATAGTCCTTCTTCTAGACCAGTTGCAACCCAAGTCTGTCGTGCTATTTACCCATAACTAGGGCTAAGGGAGATGGATTCATACCTTTCCCAGGGGTATTTGCATGTAAGTGAATATAATCCGCTAAGTGACAAATTTTATTTGCTTTAATCACATACGTATTTAGGCAGCAAGTATTCTTTCAAACAAGTTTTATTGAACGATACTGACAAGACCTGCCTGTACAACATTTTATTTAGTTTTTTTCCAACTTCTAACTAAATTGTTTTATGTCAGAACAAAAAACAAAACAAAATGTTTCAAGACTCATTTTCTTTGGAGGATTTGATTTCTCTTTCTATGAGAGAATGCTTAACTTTTTGTTGTGTTAGTGTCTCCGTTTTCTGCAGGGTCCAACAATTTAAATACAATACTTTTTAGGGAGCAGTGAAAATTCTATGACCCTGCAGCAAACAGCCCAGGGATTGAATGCACAATTACCATGTTAACAAATTCACAAACCAATGCCTTTGTCCACTAGGCTATTGCGACCGTAAAGTATGCACTTGAACTCGGCAGAAACAGGGTGAGCAATAAATGAGCAGTACTAGAGGAGATATCCCTAGATATGGGCAGTGGAAAGTATCCCACCCCATAGATGATATAAATGGGGTTCAGTTAAGAATTCCCTGCACATTATCTGGATTGACCTAACTTGATGAAGGTTGAAAGGCACAATGTTATAAGAACAAGAAAAATGAGGACAATAGTCTTCAGGTAAATAATATAAATTAATTATTAGTCCTTACTTAATAAAAACAAAAAAAAAATTCTATATTAACTATAGGTTTTATATTAAACATTCTTTCTAGTGGATACCTGTATTTGCATAGATGTTCTGTTTATTTATTAAACTATATATTTATTTTCTTCTACCAGGTGGTCAAAACACATTGGATCTAATGATGGTTACCGCTGGTTAGAATCATGACAGAGAATGCATATTTTTCTTATAAGATTTCTCAAATATTCAGGCTGTAGAGTTAATCACATTTGGCTTTTTATATAATATATACCTCATTAATTATAGTTACATATATATATATATATATATATATATACACACACACACACATCTTAATTATAGTTTATATATCATTAATTATAGGTTTTTATATAAAATCTCAGCTTTCTATAGAGAAAAAATAGAATAAGATATTTCTGTAGTTGTCTAACAGTTTAATGCCACCATAAGGGTAAATGAAATTGTATGTAAAAGGGGAGACAACTCTGTGCATGTTTCTCTTGAGAATCACAAATGCTAATTTGTCATAATTGTCACTTCCTTTTATTTTGTTTCCTGCTTATTTTTCTTTGATTGTGATTTGCTTCTTGTTGCTTGAAACTTTCCATTGTTTCTGATTCCTAGAATGCACTGGTCGAATCCTGACTGCTTACTACTGCTTGAAGACATTGTTTTTTAATAGTTATTTTGCTTTTGCAGAGCTTTTTTTTCTGTTGCTCTTTTTGTTATCACATTTTGCCTGATCTATTCTCCAGCCATCTTCAGGTATACAGTCTTTCTGAAAAAGATATGATCGAAATATTTGTTATCAATTTTTTTTTTTTTTTATTATTTTTATTTTTTTGTGGGTACTCTTTTTTTTTGGCTTACACTACCAAAAATAAAAGATCTTTTCTACCTACATTGATTATACAAGACTAGAAGTTTGTGCCTTGGCACGCAGCAATGATTAACGAGGCTAGTCTTGTTGACTATTAATATTGAGAAGGAGGGAGTTCAGTCCCCACACAAAAATTCAACATTTAAATAACTCAACAAAGGTTAACATATCATAAAATCAATCCACCTATCCTAATCGAGGTACTTTGGTGTGGGGTAATAGTTAGTGTCATCAGTGTGGTTGATCATTACTACTGGGTAGTTAGTTTGAACTTCGCTGGGTGCCCAGTACAAAATTCAGCATTAACCTCTTGGTGCTCATTTTTATACGAGTGGAACATATTTTAGGGTCTATATTTTTGAAATCTGTTAAAATAGAATTCCTATTGTATTCTGAACATTTTGTTGATAAAATAATAAAAACTAATAATTGTGCTTGTCCTTTCTTGTGTTAGTTTGCACGACCGTTACGCCTTGCCAATAACTCAGAACTGTTTCGATTATGTGGAAAGACGGGAAAATGAAAGAAAGTAAGATAGAAGTGGATAAAGAAAATCAGAATAAACTGATGAGAACAGATACTACACTTTGATCCAAGTCGAAAGGCCAAAAAGTGATGGTATTTTTCAATGCACCCACGTCACTACCGAATATGACACAAGGTCGGAGTTTAAAGTGGGTTTACCAGCAACACAGTGGAAAAATTGTCCAAAGCCCCCGTGACACTTCTTTTTGGGGGTTGGGCACCTCAGGTGCTGGGCAATAAACCCAGCCCCCTCCTGAAGGAAAATTACTGCCTGGAGCTTGGAATTAAGGTTTTGGACCCTCACCTACCCCTGATAATGTTGATAAGTGATGATGATAACTGATAAAAGCGCCATCTTTCAGATACACAGTATTGAATGATGGAAACAGAGTAAGGCAATCGCCAAAAATCCAGTTACCATAAAGAAAATAACATTGTCTGCTGAATTATTTTTAAATTGTTATTAAGAGAAATGTTTGTAAGATAGGAATTTGGCGAGGAAGAAATATTTAATATCTCGTCAATAATTTAATTTTAATTGCATAGAATAACAAAAGACATATGCTACTTGGTTTTAGTGAGAAAGTGAATGAAAGACATTTTAACCGCCAATTCAGTGAAATGGAAAACTTTGTCAATTTCAAATCCATTCATTTGTATGTCTTTAATTTGAAAATAACGACCAGCATTTATATTAATGTGTTGAGGGAGACAAAAGTTATCTCCCTTTTGACTAAACCTTTAAAAAGCTAAAAATAGATATATATTAAGTTGTATTACACTTGTAGAAGAGCGAGAACTAAAAGTTTAATGCTGAAATTGGATTGGGCCACCCAATGAGGTTGGCATGAAAAACCAAGCAAGCAAAAATGCTGTAAAATGGATTGGCTTAAAAAACATGGCCGATTTTTCATGTGCTGGATGAGCATGAAATCTTCATATATTTTTTTTCCTTCTCTTTTCTCCTTTTTCTTTTCTCCTTTCTTTCTCTTTTCGTCTCCTTTCTCTCTCTTTCTCTTTTCGTCTCCTTTCTCTCTCTTTCTCTTTTTCTCTTCTTTCTCTCTCTCTCTCTCTTTTCGTCTTCTTTTTTCTCTCTCTTTTCTCTTTTTCTCTCTCTTTTCTCTCTCTTTCTCTTTTCGTCTCCTTTCTCTCTCTTTTCGTCTCCTTTCTCTCTCTTTTCGTCTCCTTTCTCTCTCTTTTCGTCTCCTTTCTCTCTCTTTTCGTCTCCTTTCTCTCTCTTTTCGTCTCCTTTCTCTCTCTCTTTTCGTCTCCTTTCTCTCTCTCTTTTCGTCTCCTTTCTCTCTCTCTTTTCGTCTCCTTTCTCTCTCTCTTTTCGTCTCCTTTCTCTCTCTCTCTCTCTTTTCGTCTCCTTTCTCTCTCTCTCTCTTTCTCTCCTTTCTTTCTCTCTCTTTTTTCTCTTTTTCTCTCTCTCTTTTCGTCTCCTTTCTCTCTCTCTTTTCGTCTCCTCTCTCTCTCTCGCTTTTCGTCTCCTTTCTCTCTCTCTCTCCTTTCTCTCTCTCGCTTTTCGTCTCCTTTCTCTCTCTCTCGCTTTTCGTCTCCTTTCTCTCTCTCTCTCTTTTCGTCTCTTTTCGTCTCCTTTCTCTCTCTCTCTCCTCTCCTTTCTAATAATGAAAAAGATGGTAATGGAATGAGTATGATCTGAAGAGACTGAAAGTACTTGGGTAGGGAAAAAAACTGCAGCACCTTCCTTGATGTATTTCATCTTAAAATCAAGAAACTGATTAGAGAACTGGAAAGGATTATTATAAAAATAAATATGTCTATATTATTGAAGGAAACATGTTTTAATGAACATATGCTGCATATATATATATATATATAGTTTATGCAAACTTAGGTAATCCGTATGGGTAGACCCGAGGAGGATGTTATATATATATAATCCAGCAAAATTTTTGATTAGAGCAACAAAAAAAAAATTAGACGTGGGGTATTGATACATAAAATAACAATAATGTTTTGTTTTGGTTTCTGTCTAAGTGAGTGATTCTTTAATGGAGTGATGTTTGATGTGAATCCCTTTTTATTTCAATTTTAGGCTGAGCCCACCAAAAAGAAACTCAAGTTTGAAGGACCAGCTGCCCCGGCTGCAAATCACAGCAGAGTCGCATCATCCAGGAATGTGTCACGTGTCACTTCGTCTCGTTTGCAGACGTCTCGCATCCAGTCATCACGGGCTCCACTTGTGACAAACCCTCGCCGTGGCAAGTATCTTAATATATTGTTATTTTTTTTTTTTTTTTTTTTTTTTTTTGTGAAGTTCACCCACTACAAGGATTGAGAGTCACTCACAATCAAAGGTTAAAGAGTAAGAGAAAGGATTCTGACATAATTCAATTTAAAAAAAAAAAATCTAATAGTACTTTTAATAAGAATACTCAGCAGTATTTAATGAGAACTAGACAAGTTATCTCCCCATGGCCTGAGCAGTGGAATGTGAACAACATTCCCCTACAGATTAAATAAAGTGTTCAGTTTGGAATTCTGTGTAGGTAACCCAGATATGTACCTAATGAAGGCTGGAAGGCATAGTGACTGAAACATTGTGATAACAACAACAAAGATGAGGACACGAGTCCAAATGTAAATAGTGTAAATAATGATAACACTTTATCCCAGAAATTCAAAAAAAAAAAAAACAATTTATCTTTTTGTTCCTTTGCAGAAACCATGCCAGCACGTCCGCACACGGTACTCAACAGCACTGTGGCCAAACCTGGACAGCGAGGTGCTGTAAATGTCCGTCCAAATTTGTCCATCTCCCCCATTCAAGGGAACAACAAAAAGAGTAAGTTTCATTGTTTTGTTTTTTTTCCTGGCTTTTCTTTTTATTTATTCTTACAAATAGTGTAAGCATGGTGAAACGATTGTCCATGCTTTTTGCCCAAATGGTCAATGAGTACCCCACGTTGCATTCTGATCTTCGCTCTCATCAGTGTTCCTGCTCACAAGGTAACATGAAAGAAACGCCATATTGCAAAATGAGAATGCAAACCATGTTTCCCATATCAGTAAGTAGGTATTTTATTCCGAGCTTTGCTTTCTCGTCTGGATCAGTAGGTAGATACTTGAGACAACTTCTGCTATGTCGGAGCTTACTACTACCAACTCTTCATCCATTTACTCATTCTGATGTGGTGTTTGGAAATACAAAATGCAGGCTTCAGAACTACCCAGATTATATATATATATATATATATATATATATATATATATAAGGACATTTTTATATTTATACATTCTTTTTATAGATACAAATATTTAAGTAAATGGTCTGTTTATAATAAACAGTATTAAACAACATTTACCGGCCTGAATGTCCGAGAAATTTTCATAGAAAATATTCTCCCTCCGACAGGAATCAAACCTGTATCCTATATGGAACCATCATTTAGCTTGACGTGTCTTTACCGATTTGACCACAGAGGAGCGTTCGGTTAGCAAGGTTGAATTTACTGTATTTAAACTTCAATCTTCCATGAATCTCTCGCTTACATTCATATCTGCACATGGCGTTTCAAATGTAAACAAATGATGTCACACATTATGAAATGGACAAAGTCCGGCAATTATTTTAAGACATTTTTATGTTTATACATTCTTTTTATAGATACAAATATTTAAGTAAAGGCTCTGTTTATAATAAACAGTATTAAACAACATTTACCATATATATCTATGATGATTAATACAGTTATCTCCTGTTAATTTCCCTCTGCAAGTTCTCCACTGCCTTAACTGGGTATTGAATTCACACTTTTTGCGTCCTGTCACTGGATCTAACCAATGCCTTTATCCACTGACAGATACTAATATTCAAATGTCCTGTCATTTTTATGGCATAGAGCACTTTTATGCCAGAAGGCTAATTTTGGGCAGACTCTATTTAGAGCTGCTTATTCAAACCTTTATATATATATATATATATATATATATATATATATATATATATATATATATATATATATACACACACACACACACACACAATTGAACAAGGCCAGTATGCTCAAAACCCTCAGACATGAATGCTCCTACCCCAAAATGTAAAAATATTCATCGAGGGTTGCTGAAGGTTTATGGAAACCATATAGTGGATGTGAGCTGCTTTAGGCTGTGGGAAATGCTTGTTTATAATAAGCTGTGTTTATAAGTGTAGCATGCAGGCTTTTGCTCACTATTGTAGAAAATGAATAGCCAATGTTTGTACTGATATGGGTGGAAAAAATAATGATTAATTTATGCAATGATATTATTGTGCTCCTGTGTCTATTTTAGTTTCTACAGAAATAAACAAAAGGCATAAAAAAAAAACAATCTAAATTTTCCATATTTGTCATTTGGGGAGTTATGTCATAATTGGCAATGTAAAGTGGATACCTTACAGCAACACAGGCTGCAGGAAATCATGTTGCAAGTAAAATAAACTAGTTCTGAGAAGTACTGAGGGGATAATTAACCAAACTGACATGTCCCTAGACATGGACAGTAGAATGAAAATCTATCCCCACAGATTGAATAAAGTTTCCAGTTCAAAACACCCTGACGGTTACTCGGGTTAACAGATAGCTGAAGTGGACCAGAAGATGCAACAATCAAAATGTGATAATAACAACAAAGAAGAGGATATTAGTCAGGCTGTAAAGGATGTAAATAAAAAAGAATCCAAATTCTCTGTATTTGTGTCATTTGGGTTGTAGGTTAGTAACTACAATTGGCAATGCAAAGTGGATAGCTTACACAACACAGGCTGCAGAAAATCATGTTGCAAGTAAAATAAAATGCTACTAACCATACCAGAGGTCAGTCTTCATCTAAAGAAGTTGATTGAGTAGAGAATGAAGTGATAAATTTAAGCAATATGCCTTCAATTAGACTAAGTGAAGGCAACATTTGACAAAAATCATCCAGAATTAGTTCAAAGAAAGTCGATCAAATACTATGAGGAAAACGCCAGATCGCATGTTTCTTTGGAAACCAGGCAAAAATGGTTATGCCAGATATTGAACTTTCCTCTATGATTCCTTGACTCTATGAATTTAAACCCAGTACTAGTTTTGGCGGCAAGGTCTCATCATTTTTACAGTTGAAATGGCTAGATGTAATCGTAATGTCTATGCTAATAGTTTCTTTGCTCACACTTCTCACTTGTGGAACTCTTTAGGATTCTTGCTTTCCATTCAACTTTGATCTTGAAAAGTTTAAATGCAATGTCAATTGTTATCTTCTGTCTTCTTAATTCTTGTTCTTTTATTGTTCTCTCTCCTTAATAATGTTTCTGGCTTCTTGCTTTCCACTCAACTTTGATCTTGAAAAGTTTAAATGCAATGTCAATTGTTATCTTCTGTCTTCTTAATTCTTGTTCTTTTATTGTTCTCTCTCATTAATAATGTTTCTGGCTTCTTGCTTTCTATTCAACTTTGATCTTGAAAAGTTTAAATGCAATGTCAATTGTTATCTTCTGTCTTCTTAATTCTTGTTCTTTTATTGTCTTCTCTCCTTAATAGTTTTCTCATATTTCCTGTGCCTTTTCCTATAAATACTTTCATGGTAATTTTTCTCATGAACCTTTCTCTATGGTACTATTCTTGGTGATATTCTTTATAAATTTAAGCCCAGTACTAGATTGGTAGCAAGGTCTCATCATTTTAAAGTTGAAATGGCTAGGTGTAGCCGTAAGTTCTATGCTAACCGTTTCTTTGAACTGAAAGCAACATTTAACAGAAAGTATTCAGAATTAGTGAATTCAAATCAAATTCTAGCCGAGAAAACACTTAATTGCATCTTTGGTAACTAGACAAAAAATGGCTACAGCTTGGCCTGATATTGCACTTTTAAAATTACCATTTATTCTTTGAAGAGATTTGTTTGAAAAATTTCAAAGTGTGTGCCAATGAATTCTTCCATGTGTGTCAAAAAAAAATATCTGAAAAACATTACTGGAGATTTTTTTTTTTTTGTCTGTTTACAGAGGCGGTCAAAAAGCGACCTGTTTGGGACTTGAAGGGCCGGATTCAAGATATGGAGGAACAGCTGAAGGATAAAGACAGCCTGATGGTGAGGTTGGACCAGATGATGACCAGGATTGAAGATTTAGAAATTCAGAAAGAAGACTTAGCTGGCACTGTGCTTAAGAAAGAGGAATTGGCTACGACGGTGTCCAAGGAAGTGGATGATCTGCGCTCTTTACTGCGGTAAGAAAGACTTTTGTTGTTTTGTGGGTTTTTTTTGGTTTTTTTTAGATATTTATATTATTTGGACTGTTATCCTCATCTTTATTGTCATATTCACGACCTTCAGCCTTCTTCAGGTGAGATTTATATATATATATATATATATATATATATATATATATATATGTGTGTGTGAGAAAAGTGTATATAAATATATATATGTATAATTATTTATATATTATATGCGTGGTATTTAATCAGTTTGTCTGATGATTGCTAAAGCGTGAAACCCAGGGTCACATACTCACATCTATCCAACCAAATATATATATTTGAATTTCGAACCAGACACTTTATTTAGTCCACTGGGGCAGATTGTTCTAGTTCCACGTGCCGTGCCTTTTCTGGATATCTCGGTTTCAGTTAATTCTTTTGAGTAATTCAACTTTCCAAGTTTTAGTTCAACTCTGCTCTGGCCAGGTATTGAACTCACAACTCTTTGAGTCAAGTAACTAGATTACTTCAAATCCACTAGGCCATGGGGACAAAATTTCAATGCATGTCACCTGAAGAAGGCTGGAGTGTATAATGGCCACAACATTGTGAATATGCCAATAAATAGTCGGACAACAGTCCAAACAATGTACATAGTGTGAATAGTTACAGTACCTCATCATATTTTTGAGATTTTTTTTTTTTTTTCTTTTTTAAGTGGCATATCAACCTCTTTAGGTTATTTAATGCTAAAATCTTACACAGTTTTATTTTTTTAATTTTTTTTAAATTTTTTTTAAATTTTTTTTAATTTTTTTTTTTATTTTTTTTATTTTTTTAAATTTTTTTTGAGATAATAATGGTGTTAGTGATACAAGCCTTACTGATTAACCCTTATCTGCGGGGTGAAGTGGTGGAGTCCTACCTTTCCCAAGATCATTTTCACTTACATTTATTATAATGAACCCAGCTGGAATTGGAACCCTGCTTTCTGGTTATCAATTCCAAGCCATTATCCATTACACCGCCTGCACATCCAATCTTATAGCACCTGGTATTCTCAAGCAGTCACCCATGTAAGTACTAACCAGGATTGACATTGCTTAACTTTGATTGAGCTGGAACTGGTGTTTCATCATGATGCAGCCATAAGCCTTGCAATATCCTCACTGGTAGCATGATTTTAATTTTCATGCACAATAGGAACCGACAGCCCAGACACCAGCACATATGATTTAATTATAGGTGTCAAGGCTTTGTGCAGAACCAACCACACTTTTTGAAGGGCTGAATACAGAGACCTGGTGCACTACATGCCCCATGGTCCCCAATTAATTCTCTACATGTTTTGAATTCAGAGTTGTCCTTCTCTTAGACCAGTTGCCATCCAAGGCTATAGAACCCAGTTTGTCCTACTGTTTACCCATAACTGGGGGAAGAAGAGGATTCATACCTTTCCCAAGGGTATTAGCATGTAAGTGAATGTAATGGATTCAACTAGAATTCAAACTTGGCTCTCCGATTCCTCAAACTGAGCTGCTACTCACTAGTCCACTGTGCCTCCTTATATATATATATATATATATATATATATATATATTAAGCAATATACATAATATCTTACATTAATTCCACAACTTGGAGTTTCATGCCAAAGCAATTTAATTTTTAAGTACTGGGATTATAGTATTTATTTTTATGTCTATGAAACTGTGTATATAGTTCTCAATGTAAAAGTAACAGAGCTTTATATATATATATATATATATATATATATATATATATATATATATATAAAATAAATATTCTGTAAACTACATTACAGCATTTTTTTTTTTTTTTTTTTTTTTCACTATAGAGTACTTATATGCATTTGTATACAATCGTTCGCTCGTATACCTACAAATATTTACCCATTCAGTTTTATATATATATATATATATATATATATGATAAAATAAAGAACAACTAGAAAACATATCTCAATCTAATATGTTTTACCTTTATTAAGGCTTCATCGGAGATCAAGAATAGAAATGAAAAAGCAAAGAGACAGTATTGGTATATTATGATTTTTTGGTAGTTCCCATTGATCAGACAAACATAACGTGTATAAACGCAAATAAATAAATATATATATATATATATATATATATATATATATATATATATATATATATATATATATATATATATGAGGAATATTTTGGACGTTAAAGTGTGTGATAGTGTAAGAATGTGTCAGTAAAGAAACACTTGTGTCTCTTGTATGTTGGACACTAATGTTAATTCATATAAGTTTGTATGAGGAATATATATGTCACCCTCATACATGTTGGTGGAATGTAACAATATCTTGCAATAATTTTGTATTCAGTATCAATATATATATATAAGTGTGTGTATATGGATATACATGAATATGTGTAGATATGTGAATATATTTTTGTGTGTGTATGTGGGTACACGCCTATGTGTGTGTATATATGTGTATATGTTATTGTGTATGTGTGTATTCGCATGTGTTTTTTGAACATAAAAATATAGGTCCTTGCTGGATTAGATAATCGTTATATTTATTTTTTATATGTTTATATTTGATTTGTAACCTGTAGTCGATATTAAATTTGTCAAATTTTCTCAATTACAAAGCGGCCCTTTAAGTAAACGCAATTTCCCTTTCCTTCGCCCCATCTCTCTCCCCCACCTCGTCTTTCCCTCCCTCTTATTCTAACATTAGATTGTCTATGGTGTGTGTATGTCACCACGAAATGTATCTTTATACATCCGACAACATTCATTTTTCTCTCACTTAAACCCCTTCCACTCACCTCTCCTAAAATTCTCTCTGTTAAGGTTTAATCTCCCTCCTTACTTACACTCTCTCTAAATTCTGTTTTTATTTCCGGAGTGGTTTTTTTCTGTTTTCCTTTTGAATTTGTAGGTCTGATGAATTGGATCATATTTACGATTCCAATGGAATAAATTATGACCATGGAATATTAGTGTTTAAGCCTTTTTATTATATATATATATATATATACACACACACACACACACACTGACTATTATTCACCTAATACTAGGATGTACAGCAACTCTTGTTGCGAACTAATGATGTAGGGGACAAGCACAGTTCTAATAGGATATTCCCTCTTCCTCTCCTCCCCAATTCTTCATAAAGGTTTTAACATTTTTTTCTTTCCTTGTTTTTAAAGAAGAAACTGACTTGCATATTCAGTGCCTCAATTTAGCTATTGCCAAAATCTCTTCTCTTTTCCTCCCCCATACAGTCAGAAGGAGGAGGAGATCTTTGAACAAAACCGTAAATTCCAGCGTGACATTGAAGATTTGAAATTCAGCAAGTCAAATCTTGAAAGACAGAAAGAAACCCTGGAAGCTGAACTGAATGCCAAGACCCAGGAAATAGCTGCCCTGAAGACGTCCATTGCTCAGCAGTCATCGGCCCAGGCCACTCTACGGGCCGAGCTGGATGTCAGCAAAGTAAGTCTTTTTGTAATTATCTGAATAGGTGTGTGTAAAATGCAGAAACAAGTGAATCTTCAACACGGCTCTGCAAGTTTAAATAATTTTTTTTTTTATTATTTGGGTATTATTTTGCTTTCAAAGTGAAAAAAAAAATGAATTGTAAAGATTCTTTACGAAATTACTTCACACTAAATATTTCATATTTCTTTTTTTTTTACAGTAGGGCCGAATAAGTTGCATTAGTATAGTAGAAACAGAAACATGTCTTTGGTGTGAGAATGTGCGTGACACAAATGTATGCATATAAATTTTATATGGGCACTTGCTCAAATGGTTAGAATGTTCGCATTCTGACCATGAGACCCAGGTTTGAATCTGAATATGGTCGATTTGTCAGGAAGGAGACTTCCTGATGTTATCAGACTGGAGGGGTCGGTCCCAGCGTGCGATACCTTAGGAAAGTGCCTGAAAACCATACCACGGGTTGACCCATTCCTTCTTAGTGAAATTGGGTAGATGGAACTCTTAGGGGCTGTCAATAGCTGTGCTAGCACAAAGTCACAAGTCATCGTGGCTGAGGCCTCGTACAAATTGTTGATCACACTAGATAGCACTCTTTTTCCCAGAAACTGTAACTAAAGTCTACTCGGAATAGTTGCTGTATAAACCACAGGTGGGCTCTAGTTGGGTGCTGAATAAACTGTGCCTGAGTGTGCATCTTCATTAGGGATTGACTAGCCACCTTAGTAGACAAGTATCCTCGAATATGAGTGGCTAGTTATAGATAGATAAATTGTAGTACTTGTATACTCTAATAAATATACAGAAAATGTAAGCTATTAAGTGAGAATTTCAGTTTTGTTTGTATAATAAACGAATGAAGGAACGAGCTATCACTCTGGTCAAAGATTAACTGAAAGACTAGTTAGCAAACTAAAATTTGTGGCTTATATAGAAAAATATCGACTCCAGAAAAAAACAAACAAACAAAACAATTTAGATTTATTAATCTTGGGTTTATTGGTTAATAAATATCTTCCTAGTTTTTAGATATTCATTTTAAGGAGGGAAAATATTGTTCATGAAATTCTGAAGTGATCCTCAAAAATTTTGTTGCTAACAACAAATCCTAAATCATCTGCCTATTCAAAGAAACCTGTGCATCTCATATGATGTTGCTGATTGATTAATATATATGAATACAAAAATTCAGATTTTTGGGGCCAGCCTATATACAGAAATGCATTAATTTCTCAGTTTAAGTAACCTGTTGTTTTTTTCTTTTTTTTCAATTCTGAAATGAGTTTTTATATCCATGTCCATATATATATATATATATATATATATATATATTTTCAGTTCAACGCTTCATTCTTCATTATTTACTTTATTCGGACTATTGTCCTCATCTTTGTTGTCATATTTATCACAACTTTTTGGCCGTTGTATGCTCCAGCCTTCTTCAGGTGGTTGGAATGTCGAACTGAGCCCTTTATTTCACTCACTGGGGTAGACTATTCTAGTTCCATGTGCCATGTTTAATGGATGTCAGTTATCAGTTAACTTAAGAAATCCGCACATCTGCTAGGCCACAAAAATCTCCTGAGCCGACCAAGCATAGAAATGAATACAATATGGGAACCAGTAATAAGGAGTGCCAGAGAAAAGCAATAATAACAACAACGAAGATTGCAATATGAGCTCCAGTAAAAAAAAAAAAAAAAAAAAAAAAAAAAAAAAAATGGTTGCTGAAGACATTAAGATTATACGTCCTAGAAATTCATACACAGGTGTTCTTATGGACACATGGCACAGTAGATAAAGGCATTGGTTAGATCCAGTGAAAGGACCCAAAGAGCTGTGAGTTCAATACCTGGTTAAGGCAGTGGAGAACTTGAACATAGTAAACTTGTACATAATACCTCATCTCAGAAATATAGACAGATATCTCATTCTTCATAGAACCCCAACTTAGGGTTATAAGGTTAATATCTGGGTTGTGTTTGTGGAGCTTCTTTCCTTTAAGACACATACTTTCTGCCCTCCCCTTACCACTGACTTGGGCATTTCTTCTGACTGAGGCGTCGATATGGGTAGAATCTATATCTAGTTTTCAACTACTGTCAAAGTTAAATTTTGAATCTCTAATTCTGATATGAGCACAGACCATCTACCGGGGTTGAATAAGGCTGATCTACTTCGCATTGGCTGAAATATATCTATATCCCTCCCCCATATGAGGTAATTTTTGATTTTGTTGTGTAATTTATATGCTTTGTTGTAATTAATACATTGAGCTCTTTTTGTGGATCAGTTTTAATATTTGATATTACTAGGATCCACTTGGATCTTATACCAATGGATGTATTATCTGTAATATATATATATATAATCGTAAGTTAATGAAGGGTTTGGTAATCTGTATGGATAATTCCAAAGAGGATGTGATCCAGAAAGCTCAATGTAACACCAGGGCAAATATTAATTAAATAATTAAGAGACAACCCTAAGGTTCCATGACTATAATTTATTTCCTCAGAAAACATATTTTTCCCAGGTTCATCAGGTCACATCTCTAGTTACGAAAGAATTAGGTTTCTTTTATCCCTAATAGAATTTTTGAGGGATTGTTTTAGATTGATATAAGGGGACAATTAGTGAGAGGATTATGGAAAGGTAAAGTAGGGATAAGGTTGTTTTTAAACTATCTTTAATAATTTACTTAGGTTCAAGTGGACTCAGTTGAGTCATTTTATTTATATATATATATATATATATATATATATATAGTATTTACATTAGTTGGACTATTGTCATCTTTGTCGCCATATTTGTCACAACGTTTCGGCCGTTGTACGCTCTGGCCTTCTTCAGGTGGTTGGAATGTCGAACTGAACCCTTTATTTCGATCACTGGGGTAGTCTGTTCTAATTCCACGTTTGATGGATGTCAGTTATCTCCTGCTAATTTTCCCTCTGGAAGTTCTCCACTGCCTTAACCAGGTATTGAACTCACCTTCTTTGGGTCTGTCACTGGATCTAACCAACGCTTTTATCCACTGTGCCTGTGTCCTTGAGGACACATGGCCTTGAATTTACACATATATATATATATATATATATATATATATATATATATATATATATATATATATATATATATATATATATATATATATATATATATATATATATATATATATATATATATATATATATATATATATATATATATATATATATATATATATATATATATATATATATATATATATTAAATGAACCATTCATACAAAAAACGAGATATAGAAGTTAAAGATTTAAATGGCGAGAATACATCTTAGCAAACAATTTTAATAAAGTACATTAACCCCTGAACCTGTATATGAATGTTATAATCCCTGTTTATAAATTCCAGTTGCATAAGGTCTTTTTTAGTTTTTTACAAGCTTTTGTCTGTTCCTACAGACATCTTCAGGTATGGAAATAGATTTGTTTTTTACTTCTCGGTAAAGTAACTCTGAATGAGAATGGGGCTAGCAGATTCATCTCCTAAAACCAACTTAATGCAGAGATCAGGGCTACAACACCCAGAGTATTGATGCTGTAGTACTCTGCTCCACAGGGGACTCTTTAGGGCTTTTAGATTCTGTTTACTTTGTGCTAATGCTCATGGAAAAGGCATGAAACGATTTTCCATGAATTTTTTTTTTTTTTTTTTTTTTTTTTTTTTTTTGGTTAGTTTCTTTGTCGTTTTTTTTTTTTTTTTTGTTTCTAAGATTTTTTGTAATTTTTTTTAGCATTTTTGAAATTTATAAGTTTTTCCAAATGCTAATTATTATAATTGAATTTAATTAATTTTTGAATACAATTGTAAGGAAATGCGCAGAAATTTCAAGGGAAATAACTCTAATTACTATTTCATAGACTTCTATTTTATCTTATTTTTATTCCCTGCCAATTTATACTTAATTAACAATGACTTGAAAATGGGCTGATTGAACTGGAAAAGGCTTTATTATCCTTAAAGTTAGGTTTAATATTTAAATGGTATTGTAGTCACAAAAACTTTACGATTATCTGATGATTTGCTGTGCTGTAGTAACAAATACAGAAATGTACAAATATTGGATAATTATTGTAAAATTGATGCCTGACGTTTTAGTTTTTCTATGCAGGAAAACAAACTTTTTGTTTCTTTGCAAAAAGAGAAATGACTAAATCAATATTTCATTTTTTTCTTTTTTTTTTTTTTTTCTTTCCTCTCAGCTTGGTCTGGACAATGCTAACCAGCAGCTGAACGAACGAGACTTGGAGATTGATAGATTGAAAAAAGTCATTCAGCAACATGAGGCCACCATTGATGACAATACACAGCGTATGAGAGAGCACGAGACTGTCCGTCGCAAACTTCATAACACAATTCAAGAATTAAAGGTAAGTTTGAATCAGCTGAATGAAATTTTTTTTTTTTTTTTTTTTTTTAAATTTGTCTTTTAGTTGCTGATGTGCGTATTTTCATTGTAATATGTTTTTACATGGATAACTTTTTGTACAAGGGTGCATGGGTATCACAAAAAAATTGTTTATTACAGAAACATTACATCAGTTGAGATGCACAAATGTTACATTGGTAGAGATAAAAACTTAAAAAAAAAAAAACTGGGCATCTATGTCAAACACGAGTATTGACTAAAAATAACATTTGATGTAATAAAAAATGTTTTATTAAAAGTAGTGTTGTGGATTCCGAGATGAATTCGGTCTCCAAGGAATGACAAACGCAATAATTAAATATAAGAAATAAAATGTATTTACACAATCATACAAAGACTAATACTGTTAGTAAGTCCAGGAATGTTGTTAGTAGCAAATACAGATAGATATATACAGTCTCGAAGTAGGACTTCCTTAGAGTCTACGTGCTTGTAACTGACTTCTACAAGAGGTTACCTCACTCTATCTCCGTTCGTATATTCTCTGACTGTTCCTGCAGATCCTCTCTCACTGTCTAACTCTGGGTATTTAATGGCAGCACTCCATGTAACACTGGTAGAGCCCACATATGAAAAAGGGGTGGACCCCATAACAAGTAGATCCATTAACTCTTTCTAAAAAGTTGCTTTGTTTCCGTTTTGGATATGAAATTAAGGCGATATGTGCATGCAAGAAAATCCGAGTCGGGAAATGAGTTTTCTTTCAAAGGGGGTAAGTCGAACCTTGCTGAGATGTGAAAGCACTCTATGGCCAAGTGGTTTAAAGCATGTTGCATCAGACAATGGTTTCTCCTACAAAGGGGGACTCAATTTCAAACCCTGTCAGAGAGCACATTTTCCTTATTAAGTTATCTTTAGTGCAACTTTATACACACTACTTAAAAAAAAGTCAATTCAAACACAGTTACCCAGTAAAACTCAAACTATGCACGTGAGTAGGCATTGTACACACTGTTTAAACTAAAAGAAATAAAAAAAAAAATATACTGGGTATCTATTTCAAACACGGGTATCCACTAAAAATAATGTTTGAAGTAATATATGGGTGGCTGAGTGGTCACATTGCTTGCTTTCTGACCATGGGTCTTTGGTTCAAATCTTGTCATAGTTAATTCGTCAAGGAGGTGGCATGTTGATATCAGCCTAGGGAAGCTGATCTGAGCTTACACCACAGCTGGAAAGTGCCTGAAAACCATACCAAGTGTTGACCCAAGATTTGTGAAATTGGGTAGACAGAACTGTCCAGAAGCAATCGGTGTCCTTGTTTGTATCCATTATACAACACACACACTATGGGCCAAAAATGTGGGCCTAATCTCTGAATTTAATAATTAGTGGCTGTTAATTAAACTGAAGAAGGCATGAAACATACTAAGGTAGGGTTTTTACCCATTAGTGCATAGCATCCAATTTTTTTTTTTTTTTTTTTTTTTTTTTTTTTTTTTTTTAGAAAGAGGCTTAACTAAAATTTAGAACTTGCAAAACGTAATATTACCATTAGCCATCATAGTAGATTAGACAAAAGAGCTATAATTTTTATCCATGAATGGGTTAATTTTATTATTATTATTGAATATATGAAACCTTTCAAGAGTTCTCTCTGGTCTGAAGCAAGCTTTGAAAGAGGTATGAAACCTTTAATGTTTAGGCAATTGTTTCAAAATTCACATGGCAGTCCCAAACTTTTGAACTGTGTGTGTGATATATGTGTGTGAGATATGTGTGTGTAATATGTGTGTGTGTGTATGCAATGTGAATGTGAATATACTCTACTACTACATACATGAGAAGATGACCTTACCAATAAAGAGCCCAAGCTGATTACACTAGCCTCTGCCACCCTCAACTACACTAGACAGACATAATTACAGAGGTGATGAGGTCACGCCTGACCCACACACATGGACACACATTCCCCAAAGTTAAGATAACATACGCATAATGCACACATCCCCTTCCCAACAGTCAATAAATCTGTCAAAATGACTAAAGAGGTAAAGCTGAGATTCCTGAGTCACCTGATCTCTCCTTAAAAAACAGATTTCACTAATCCCAGAACTGATCAAAAGTTAATTATAAAAAAACAAATGAAAACTACTAGTTCAACTTCTTCAGAGAAGGTCACTCTCTCCTGTAGTTCATTGCTACTAACAAGCATGAATTTTTTTTTTCTCCTGATGATGGCCATGCTGGTTGAAACTATTTGAGGAACCTAATTAAAAAATTAAAGAAAATTATTAATATGCAACCCAGTGTGTTTGGTATTTTAATTTTTAACAATTTTTATTGATTTTTATTACTTCTCATATGTAAACACAAGGAAACATATCACTTTTTTGCTGAAATGAAAGCTTTTCTAGCGATTTTTGCTTCTTATTGCACCTTCAGAACTCCACAAGTAATGAAAGCTAAGTATGTTGAATTATTTATGTATTTTTTAATGTATTTGTTTTTTATTTCATGTTTCAATTTTTTTGTAGTCAACGTCAAAACAGACATGCAAGATGTAATGCATTACATAATGCATTAATAGCGAAATATTCCTCATTCATTCTTTTATTAGTATACAAAAATTAAAATCTATAAACACAATATAAAGTTATAACAATTTTAAAACAGTATGTGTTCATGTTTTTGCACCCTCAAAAAAAAAAAAGCAGTGGCAGGGGAGGTAACTCTAGAAAGAAATTCGCAGGGAAAAGATTAATAAGATTTCTCACATATTCAGGCTAGTAGACGAAAATAAATAAATATACTCTTTAATAAACTATCAAATCTGATTATCCACTAAAAATAACATTTAAACAATATATATATATATATATATATATATATATATATATATAATAGTTATACTCATTTGGGAAAACCAAATGTTTTGGCTTGTAAATGAACAAACCAATACCCAAGAAAAAATAAGGGATAAAAAAAAGAAAGAACATGAAATTGAGGCAAAAACAATCGTCCAGAATCCAAGCTCAGTCGAAACAAAAAAAAAAAAACAACTCTAAAACGAGTAAAGCGAAAGTAACTATGTAAAGTGCTCAATACATTAAGTAGAGCAAACTATATATATATATATATATATATATATATATATATATATATATATATAAACTAAATAATGAACTGTATGTGAGTCATAGTGTGCATATGCAGATAAGTAAATATTTAATTTATGGCACAAACAAAACTGTGCTCAGTGTAGTTAAACAGTTATGAAGTATATATTAATAAATACATATATAAATCTACATTTTTAGTGCATGGTTTTTTAAGTTGTTAGGCACATATAGTGATTGAACCGCTTATTGCAGTTGTTTTTTGTTTTAAAATACTTGGTCCTATGGGAGGAACGCTAAATTATATAAAAAAAAAAATGATGCAAGCTTAGTTTATGTGGTACATGTTTTTTCGTTGTTGGTGGGGGAAGGATGATGTAAACTCAAAGTTTATATGGTACATGTTTTTCAAAAAAAAAAAAGAAAAAAAAGGCAACATTTAAGTTAAATTATGAATTATAAAGAGCAAGACAATATGAATAAAAAGGAGGGTTTTGGCGCAGTGGATAATTTGCTTGCTCCTTACACTTTATAATTTCTTATTTTAAATCTTGCCCTTCCCCCGGAAAAACATGTGCTACATAAAGTTTAAGCTTGCATCATTTTTTTTTTTTCACTTCAATGCAAACGATTTATTAGTAGTTTTAAGGCTAGTAAGAAAATAAGAGTAACAATGAAGAGTGTTGGGAAAAAAACCAGCAATAAGCAACTGGTGTGAAATTATTGATAGGCTAATATTGAAAGTGCCTTATATATAAAAAAAAAAAAAAATATTTAGTCTTTAAAGGTTCTTTATTTATATTTTTTCAGGGTAACATTCGTGTGTTCTGCCGTGTCCGTCCTCTTATTGGTGAGGAAATACAGTCTCATAATGGCATTATTTCCCACATTAATTTTCCTGATCTGGATGCTAGAATCCTGGAGCTGGATCACCCGGTGAACAACGGTCTCAATGAGGTGAGTAAATGCATATCTGCAGAATGTTGGCTTTCGAGTTGCAATTTTTTGACTGTTTACATTCTCCACAAGAATTTCATTTTTATTCACATTAGCTCTCATCTTTGCTGTTATTATCAATTTTCCTATTTAAAATTTCTGATGAATGTTAATTCCTCAGTTAATGATTGAATAAGCTCATGGCGAGTTCTGCGACAATAAAATATCTGTAGAAATTCCCCTATTGCATTGTTAAATATTTGAACTTAACAACTTCAACAAAATATTGCACTAACAAATGTGAATGCTGGTCGTTATTTTAAGAAGTAAGGGAGTACAAATGAAAAGATTTGAAATTGACTACTTTTTGCATTTCATTAAAACAGACTTTAAACATTTTCTTTATTTCTTTCTTTCATTCATATGGTTTGTCTTTCTATGCAATCAAAAAGGAATAGTTTATTATTTATGAGGTATTGGCAGGAGACGTTAAACACTTCTATCTTCCTTTCTTCCTTCTTTCTTTCTTTCTTCCTTCCATGTCTTGTCTTTATACGCAATCAAAACGGAATAGTTCATTACTTATGAGGTATTGGTAGGAGATGTTAAACACTTCTATCTTCCTTTCTTTCTCACCAAATCCCCATCATACATACATTTAACTTAATAATTTAAAAATAATTCAGCAGATGATGGTTTGCTTTGTTTTACGGTACATCAACCTCAATCAGTTAATTTATGCCAATAAGATTGAATAGAATATATATTCTTTGTCAGGAAACTGTAGATTCGGTTTCATTGATATAATTTTGTAAAGATGGTTGTTGTGGAGAGTCGTGTTTCCTTGATGTATTCTTTTTAGATACACATTTTGTACAGTAATTGATTTTGACATTCTCATTTGGTTTCTAACTTTTGGTAGAGTCCTAATCTTTTGAGAAATGATATCATCCACTTTTACGCTTTCAGCTTTGGGCACTTTGACATAGTGTAATGGATATCGAGCTTGTCTATCTAGATAAATTACAACTGAATAGTGAGTTCAGTCCTCACTGGGTAACCTATGCTTTCGGCCTTGTGCCACTTCTAGGCTATGCTCAGCAAATCACCATAAGTGTGAATGCTGGTGATTATCTTAAGAGGTGGGTGCAAATGAAAAGATTTGAAATTGACAATTTTTTCCATTTCACTGGAACGCATTTTAAATGCTTCTCTTCTTTCATTCTTTTTGTCACTGAAACCAAGTAGCGTATGTCTTTTCCATTGTTTATGAGATGTTGACAGGAGACATTAAACACATATCTTTTTCTCTCTCTCTCTAGATAAATCCCCATGTTACAGAGTACAGAGGTTTTTCTTAATAATAATTTTAAAATTAATTCAGTAGACTGTTATTTTATTTATGGTAACTGGATATTTGGTGATTACTTCGTTTTTTGTTGTTCTGGTGATTTTATCGCGGTCTTCCAAGTGTTTTGATCTTTTGGCTAAGATCGAAGTGTATTATCTGTTTTTATCAACTTAATCTGATTCTCTCTACCCCGTCCTCGCTCTCCGTCTCTGCCCCGGCTTCACTATGCTGCTAACTAAAAACACGAGTTAATATATTTATCATAAGTTGTACTCATTTGTATTTATTTATTTATTTTTTTCTATCCAGAGTCTGTCGACCTCAAACGTTGGTAAGAACAAAAAGAAACATGAATTTACTTTTGACAAAGTCTTCAGTCCTGATTCTACGCAGAAAGATGTGTTTGATGAGATCTCTCAGCTCGTTCAGGTATAGTTCACCTGCTGATATGACACTCTTATATATATAATTGTAAATTTAGGCAGCAATCCCTCTTTTATAGAAATTTTGTTTAAGGTGACTGACAAGGCACAGCAATTAAGCCTTTTATGTAATTTTTCTTGTGTTCGTACAAGTGTTTTTCTTTTCAGGATATAAAATGTGTAAAAACTGTTCAGAAGTTTTTTATGTGTGTGTGTGTAATATATATATATATATATAAGAAAAATAGACCACTTTAAGGTACCATTATAATAATTTATTTCATCAGAGTCCTTTTTTAAAAGAATGCCAGATCATCAGATAGCACTTCCAACAACGAAATGAAACGAAAAATTGGGATTACCCATACGGATTACCAAGTTCTTCATAACTTAACTTTATATATATATATATATATATATATATATATATATAAAATGTATGCTATATCCAGGATAGGCTGTTTGTAAATGTAAGTCCAGACCCTGAGGTTAACATTGAATGGTGATAGTATGTTTCATGCTTAAACATAATCTTCAGGCGAGCAGTAAAGCACACCAGATCAAAGGGTACTTTTTCCTAGAAAGAGGGATGCAGGTTCAATCCATGCCAGAGAACACATTTTCTTTATTAAGATTTCTCAAATGCAAAGGTTGATAGATGTAATACACACTGTTTAAAATAAAAAATAAAATTGGGGAGTCTATTTCTAATATGAGTATCCATGGAATAATAATGTTTGAAGTAATAAAAATGTTGGATTAAAAATAAATCCATTTTTATATATATATATATATATATATATATATATATATATATATATATATATACACACACACACACACAGTGTCCATAAAGTCTCTTTACAATTAAAAAAAAAAAAAAACTATTACAAAAGCAAATGCACAAGTAAATGTGGAAATTGTTAAAAAATGAGGTGTAGATATTGAAGTTATCATAACTAATTTAATAAACCTCTATACAGACGCCATTAGTTGCACGAAGCACATCAAGACGGTACTTGATTTCTTGCCATCTTCGCTGTAGCATAGCCTCATCATTGGTGGCAACGGCATCAGTGAGGTCCTTTAGATCAGTGAGGCCCCGTATCTTTGTTTGATACACATTTTAAAAATAAGCCCATAGAAGAAGTCCAGTAGAGTGATATCTGGTGAGCAAGGAGGCCAGGGAATTAGGCCATCCCTTCCAATCCACCAGTCTGGAAATGTTAGGGGTTCATTTAACAGTATCTCCTTCAACAACATAAACCCTATGGAAAGAGGTTCTGTAGTTTTGGCAAGTTTCGGCAAGTCCTCGTATCTGATTTTGTTTCAATAAACCATGACACGCATTGTGCCTTTTCTTGAGGAGTAGCCATTTTTAGGTGTTCATTTAACAGTACCTCTTTCATCGACAGGATGAAATACAAAAATGCAATGTGATTAAAAACTTTGAAAACTACTGAGTACATAGAACAAATCTGATTAAGATATCTCATTAATTGCCTTTGTAATAAATTTTTTTAAATTGTAAAGAGATTTTATGGGCATTCTGTATATAGGTACTTTCAAATATGTTCAAAAATGAGCATACATCATGAAGAAATACTCCAAATTTACAAACAAAGATTTATCATCAAAAGCTTTATTATTAAGAGGAAAGACCAAAGGATTTTTCTTGTTATTAAATCATATTTTTTAATTCTTTCTAGAACTTTCAAAATTGTAATTTTTTTTTTTTCTTGTGTCAGTGGCGGATCATAAATTAGTACAGGAAATTTTAGGATCTTTTTGAGTTGGAAAGCAAATTTGATTTGGAAACTTGGGCAAAAATCAAATAATTGTCAAATTTTAATGAAACTTTCAGGATTTAATCACAAATGAATGAAATTATTTAAAAACTTTTCATTTTTATATAAGATCTTGGTAAAATTTTTTTTTGTTTTTACATCTGCTAACTCCCAAACACATACACTTAATTTTATGAAAATTTGAGAAATTCGTTTTTGCAGGGCTTAATGTTTATATTAGTTATAAGCAGAAGTCCTTGGAGAATTTAAATCAATTTTTTTTTTTAATTGTAAAAAGCCCCCCCTTACTGAAAATCTGCTCCTGAAAATAAAATAAAACGGACATTATTTAATTATAAAAGCTTTTAATTGCTTTTATGAATAAGATATATTTTTTGATGAATAATAAATATTTACAAGAATTGTTTTCATTTTTTAAAAATGTTCATTAGAATAATTTATAAAGATTTTTGCAAGTCTGGATGTCCATACATGACATTATCAGAAAATAAGAGTGATAACTTTAGCAAATTTATAGCCAAAGTACCTAAAATTAGCATTAGATTACATAGAATACTTCATGGCGATGATCCCCATAAAAAAAAATTTCCGAACATAAGTCTATTGTGAGAATTGTCATAAAAACGTCCGTGTAAAAAAAAAAAAAAAAATGCATTTCTGTGATATTTTAAGCTATAAGTAAGTAATTTGTTTCAAATCTGATTAATAAAACTTTCTATCAGCTAATGTTTCTCAGGTTTCAAAAAAGCATATTTTATTTTTGAAAGATTTTTTAATAAAAAGAATTTTATTTTGCTGAGAGAATTGTAAATATGGCTAAAATTAGTGATTTTTTTTTTTTTTTTCTTCAGTAAAAAAAAAAACAAATTCTCCAATCAACTTAAATTTGCTTTACTATACAGCAAAGAAATTTCCTTATTGGAAATATTAAATTTAATCAATTGATTTGTAATCAAAACTAAAATGAAAGCTTCAGAGAAAGATTTTTCATTTTTAAAATTCATTTTAATCCTTGGGTATCACTTTTTTTTGTGTGTGTGTATAATATATATATATATATATATATATATATATATATATATATATATATTGGACACCGAGGACGTTCAAGCATGAAACGCTGTTGCCACTCAGTTTTGACCTTAGTGTCAACTTTCATATTCACACACACACGCACATATATATATAATCACTTTTACTTATGAATATAGCATACCATAAAAATATATTTTTTATTATATATTTGGTGGACTCTCCTGTCGTATTTGACGTATGTGGGTCAAGCAGCTCAGTTCTAGGAACAGACAGCCGAGACACCAACATATGATTTGATTATAGTGGTGAAGGCTTTGTGCAAAACCAATCACCCTTTTTGAAGGGCTGAATACAGTGACCTGGTGCCCCATGTGCCACAAGGCCCCCAAACAACTATCTGCATGTTTTGAATTCAGAGTTGTTCTTCTCCTAGACCAGTTGCCATCCAAGCTATAGAACCCATTCTGTCCTGCTATTTACACATAGCTGGAGGGAAAAGAAGAGGATTAATACCTTTTCCTAAGGGTATTAGCACGTAAGTGAATGTAATAGATTCGACTTGAATTTGAACTCGGCTCTCTGATTACTCAATTCGAGTTGCTATCAACTACTCCTACTTAATATATATAAATAAAGCGAAATGTATGTTAACTATAAGCAAGATAAATTTTCTGTTAGAAACATTAAGAAATATATGACCCTTAGTTGACCAGAACAAGAAAATTATCTACCATAAATTTAAAACATCTAGCCTCATCACCAACAATAACAACACACTTGCAAGATTTAAATTACAGAGAACTATTATTATTTATGAATTCACATTTCCCTTAAGGAACTGTATTCCTGATCAAACCAAACTCATGAATAATTATATTGAACACACTACTATATGCCTATCTAGATGACTCCCTTTACACCTATCTGACCATAGCTCAAGTAAACATACGCATATACTTACAAAACTCCTTCTGCAATGTATTTGTCAAAAATACATGTATAACAGCCTCATGAACATGTTTAAAAAAAAAAAAGAAAAAAAAGCATTATTAATAAAAAAGAAGCCAACACGCGGTAACTTTAACTATGAACGCAGCCACAATGTAGTGACTTGTGTTTGGAAAATAAAACATTCCCATAACCCTTGTCATAGATCCTCATCTGGTATTAATATTGTGATGGGGGACACAACCAACACCAGGCTAAGATCCATGTATTCTGCATGATGATTCGTTTATATCTTATATTCCCCAAATAACCTTCCGTTATGGGATTCATGAATAAATATTATGGTGATTTCCCTTACATCATTAAATCATCAGCAGATAATATAAAAAGAAAAGAAAGTAAGCAAAGTCCAACTCAATTATGATCTAATTGAATTAAGCTTCCCCGGGTTCTTGGAATAACACATTCAGCCGACCGTTGACCATAAATGAACGAAACGACATTGTGAACAATATAATATTTAATTAACAAGAGCATTTATATGGCAATGACAATAAAGATATCATGTAAGCTATAACATATATTTAGTTGGAATACGACAAATATTAACGAATGTGCATACACATATGCAGGGGTATAGTCTCAATTGTCTAGTATTACGATTATGGAAAGGTGTATGCAAGAACATAATATTGTTGGGTGTTTGTGAATCATAGTACTACTGGGGGTTTTGGGGTATAAACTTATCTAAGAGATGCATTTTTCGACCAAAGGTGATAATAGTCTCTTTTCTTGTATTCTTGATTCAGCGACTGGAGCTTTAGGTTCTCAACTGGGATCACATTCTCTGCCTTAAATTTATATTCAGGATTTCTTAGGGCAATGATCTCTGAAGGGTTCAGGCCAATTGCATCTGGACTATCTTCACATTTTTGGCATTTGTGTGGTTGGTCTGCTTCTCTGCCTCTGGGAATGTGTTGTCTCAGCGTGCGACCTGGGACATGGACGTTGGCGTGACTTTCCGTCCACTGGTCTCTCCGATAAAGCTGCTTTTTTTTCTTCTCTTCATGTGCACATCTCCTTTTTGGCGTCTAACTTTCTCAACTGCTGATTGGCTGCTTTTGACCATTCGTGTTGTTTCTTTTATGTGCCATCTTACTGGGTCCGAATCTATTTTTAGTCTTCGCCTACGCATATTTCTATGTGTGTCTGCTTTGGGTTCTGTTGTGGGAGTGGGGAATAACGTATGTGTGTTGGCTTGCATTCATCACACCCTAGACACATACATAAAAATCCATACATTTAGTTAAAAAAAAAAAATTCTCCTTGAAAATGGCTAAAAGAATAGTTGAAAGTGCTCAGATATGCAGAACATTTGGACAGACTTTATATCCAGAAAAGAAATTGCTTAGACGAAAACAAGAAAAATTAAACAAAAAGCTTAATTGCAGTATCTTGTCGGTCGTCTTTAATAAAACATCTATAAAAGATTGATTGCTGCCCAAATACACAAACATATATATATATATATATATATATATATATATATATATGTCTCATTCATTCTATTGATATGTGTCTTTGCATACTGCTTTATAGAAAATAAATTTGCTTGTGATTCATTTTATTCTGTTGCTTTGATTGCAGAGCGCACTCGATGGTTACAATGTGTGTATCTTTGCTTATGGACAAACTGGATCCGGTAAGACTTACACGATGGAAGGCAAGGACATCCAGGATCTGGATGACATGGGAATGATCCCCCGGGCAACAATGCAGGTCTTTGAGACAGCAGAAGTATTAAAGGAGAAAGGATGGACAGTAAGATAATTTTCACTCTAATTTGTCTTCATTTGGTGATTTTCTTTTCTCTTTTGGTGTGTGTGTGTGTGTGTGTGTGTGTGTGTGTGTATATATATACATGCAGTACTTATTGGAAAGTGCTCAATATCAGTGATAGAGGTAATATATTCAGTTGTATGGATATTGTTTGTGAGACTGGGTTTCACGCTTTTGTGATCACTAAGATCACAAACTCATATCCATACAACTGAATATATATATATATATATATATATATATAAATATATATATATAAAAATATGCAATAGGAATTAAGATTACTTCATGGCTATGATCATTTCACCTTACAAATTAAGATTTTCAAACTGATTAGGTTAATAAGAAAAAATAAAATGAAACTGGCTTAAAACAAATTTTAAAAGCCAGGCAGAAGCAAAGAAAAATTTTTTATATATATATATATATATATTATGAAATGGACAAAGTCCGACAATTATTTTAAGACATTTTTATGTTTATACATTCTTTTTTATAGATACGAATATTTAAGTAAATGCTCTGTTTTATAGTAAACAATATTAACATTTACCGGCCTGAATGTCTGAGAAATTGTCATAGAAAATATGCGTCCTCCGACAGGAATCGAACCTGTATCCTATATGGAAACGTCATATAGTCTGACGTGCTTTTACCGATTTTGCCACAGATATATGAATGTACGAGAGAAAATCATGGAAAATTGTAGTTTAAAAACTGTAAAATCGACCTTGCTAACTGAACACTCCTCTGTCTTATGTCTAAGATTTATTTACATTCTCTGGAATATAAATGTATAGAAACTAACGTGGCCACAAATTGAGGGATCAGTTTATATATTGGTTGTAATATAGAATTGAGCCCACACTTTATACCTACATTATAATTTCTTGTTTGTTTATCAAATTCTGATTAGGTATGAATCTACCTCAGCTATGGGTTAATTAGTAAGCTTGTATCATTAAATCATTATCTCCAAAAACAAAAAACAAAACAATCCAAAAATATTTTCTGGCTTTAAATAATCTCCAATGGGTTGATAAATCATAGAAAATGAATGAATCAATTATGTTTTTATTTACAGATCGCAACAGTTATCAAAGATGAAATTTAATTTTTTATTATTCCAAAATTTTAACACATCAGCAGATAGCTATTAATCTCAACAATTGAGCACAAATAGTTATTAATTAAAAAAATTAGTAATTAATGTATAATATTATCCATAACTACATGTACAAGAATGTTTTTGATAAAAGTTAAAAAATAACCATAAGTACGTAAAAAAAATGCATATATTGTCGAAAATTCCTTTTTCCACAATATAAGCTATTTGTGCTATGTTAATGCTTATTAACTAAACAATAATAATACTGATTAAATTATTTTAACCATTGTGGTGAACAGCCCCATAGAAGCAAGCAAGCCAGAGTGGCTTGCATCTGGTGCATAGGTAAGTAAAGGTCTTACCTTAATGTGCAGCACGTAACATCAGCAAGTTTGCTCAGTGAAAATGGCTTTACTCTCCTGTTTAGCAATTTTAGCAGTATGTTCAGTAATGAAGGTTTTTTTTTGTTTTTTTTTTTGTACAGTTTGGCATACTTCCACCAATAGCAAGTCGTGTGCTGATTGGTTGAACTGGAGGAGGCTGTTTGCTTGTCTAACTGAGAATAAAAGCTAAGCACGCTGATTGGTTGGTTGACTGCGGTGTTGGCCTGATAAAAGTGGGCTGAAGCAGTGAAAACGGGGAGAAAAAGGACGGATATACGTTGTGAGGTGTACAGAAAGCAAGAACTGCGAATTGAATCAGCGGTATCTTGATTTGTACAAGTGATGTCATAGTAGTACACACTTATTTACACTTACAAACATTAAAGTATATTTAATCACATCTCCCTAATAGCTGTTGTGATCTGTTAATTGATTATATATATTGTGTTTAAAATAATATACAGTGTAACCCGGATATAAGAGAGTTGTCGGGACCGGAGAAGAAGTCTCTTATATCCGGGTTACACTGTAGATAATCTTGTGTTTATTGTTTGTTTACAGTATGAATTTGAAGCCATGTTTTTGGAAATATACAATGAAACAATTCGGGACTTGCTTGGTGACAAAGATGATCTGAAACATGAAATCAAAATGGCCACTGATAAATCCAGCTCTGTCCATGTGACCAACCTAACAACAGTTCATGTGAAATCACGGGCTCAGGTAAGTGATTGTCACTTTTAACCTTTACCACGTTAATTTCTTTCTAGAATTCTCCACCATGCTTTTTTCTCTTTTTTTTTTTTTTTTTTTTTTTTTTTTTTGAGGGTGCAAAATCATGAACACCTGTTTTAAAATTGTTATAACTTTCTTTGTATTTGTGCATATAGATTCTAATTTTTATACGCTAATAAAAGTATGAATGAGTAATATTTGGATGTAATGCATTAGATTTTGCATGCATGATTTGACGTCGAAAACAAAAAAAATTGAAACGCTAAATAAAAACCAAATACATTACATAAATAATTCAACGTACTTTAACTTTTATTACTCTTTGTGGAGTTCTGGGGTTGCAATAAGAAGCAAAATCACTAAGAAGGCTTTTATTCTGTCAAAAAGTGACGTGTTTCCTCGTGTTTCCATACAAGAAGACACTAGCATTTGTTTGCTCTTTTTTTTCACCTGACTCCTATTTATTTGTCTTGTTGATGAATAATGTTATTTCGTCATTTATAAATAGACAAAGTAATTCATCTTCAGAAAGGCTATCAGGTATGTCGTGGTAGCCAGTAGCTTCCATAAAATTAGTCAGGCATGGATGATAGTAGCTGTTAGTGATCATCATCACTTTCCTCCATGTCACTAGCATGGTTATCATCTTTGAACACTTCACTGTCAATATCCACTTGAGTAAAGCCTTCAAAATCATTATCAGTGTCCTAATCAAAGAAAAACTTCTGAATAAAGGCTTTGGATATTGATGTGGCCATTTTTGTTTATAAAAAATCGTGAAAAAATTAATGTGGGTTTAATTGGTGTTGACTCTTTGTGTAGTCTAGAAGAATTCAAAATGACATTGGAAAATGGAAGTTTAACCTTGTTCCAAAGCAGTAGTAGGCGATTTCCAGCTTAAAATACTGGAAATAATAGTTGACAAGTGTTTATTTATAACAACTGTCTCAAGGCAAGCAACAGAATGCGCCTAGAGTAGCAAAGGGAGAGAATTCTGCGGCGACTATTGTTACCTGTGGTGTGGTAAAGGTTAAAGAATACTTCTTTCGTAACTGTTGCTTTACTGGCTTCCAGCAAAGGGAAGAGTTCCCTGTCTGCCCTGCAATTTAAGCCATAAGTGGAATAAGATGGATTTGGCTGGTTCTAATCACTGTTTGAAATGACTGTAAAAACAACCTCCTCCCCAAATTTATAGACAAAACATACAGATGCATGCTGGGATTTCTTCCTAGCCTGTTTGTTGGGCTTTTCTGCCAATTACATTTAACCATAGCTAATTAATCTACAGATTCTTACCTTTTCCAAAGGCATTAGTGAAAATTTAATGACAAAATCAACTGGAATTTGAAATTGTGTAAGTAATAGTTGTACTAACAATAACACGGTTAATTTTTGTGGGTCTTTTTTTTTTTTCATTGCAGATCCATAATCTCCTCGCAAAAGCATCACATCGTAGAGCTGTTGGTGAGACGAAACTTAATGTGCACTCATCTCGAAGCCACAGTGTGTTTACATTGATTTTGAAAGGCAATAATGAACAGACTGGTGAGAGTTGCCATGGTGAGTTCGAAAACATCTCGTTATTTTTTGACCAAGAAAAAAAAAATACCCCTCTCCAGACTTCAACTGAATACATTTTGAACGCAACTGAATGCCTTCAACAAGTTGAAGGCATTCAATTGCGTTCAAAATGTATTCAGTTGAAGGTGTTCAAAATATTTAGATTTTGGCATTCAATAACCCATGGAGGTTGATATGCTGATAAACGAACCTCCTACCAACTCTTAGCCCATTTACTCATTTCAACATTGAAGGTGCCAAGACAAATGGATGACACAAGAACCATTGATGGACAAGTTTGTCTCTCACCAAAGGTGAACCAGAATTCTCCCCAGTCCCAGTCATGACGGCTAATGAAGCTAGCATCTGTGTATACCTTCGTTCTAGTTTTGCTGCCACTTGATCTCCAAAAAAACCGTAATCCATTCCTTTACTTCCAATTCCTCTTTGGTTAAACTGAATTCCGCTTAGAAGACTGAACTTCAAGAGTTTCATCTGCTGGTCTATGAAACGGCAACACTGGAGATTGGGATAAAACCACCTCTTCCTTTTTTACATGGGGGGGGGGTCCATAGTATCACAAAATTACCTGCATTAAATATCTATTTATAGTTCATGAAATATTTGTAACATTTTATGTGACTGATGAACTGGGGGACAAAAATCTTATAAATGACACGTTCCATTCTAAGAAAACTTCTTCAGGCTAATATCTGTTCTCTAAATAGAATCTGTAATTTTGCCGAGGGGAAAATACAACAAAATCTGGTTAAGATTTACAATGTTTTTAAATGCAGAAACTTTAAATTTTGATATTCAAGTTATCTTGATGTTTAACTTTGAGCTTGTTCAGATTTTTTTTTATTGCTTTCGTTTTTTTAAAGTTTAAAGAGAATAATTTGCTTTTAGTTTTTTCCAAATATTTCCATTATTTTATTTTTAATACTTTGGGGTTTTTTTTTTTTTTTTTTTTGTTTTTTTTTTTTGGTTTTATATTAAAAAAAAAAAAATAAAAAAAACAAGCTACGCTTTTTTTTTTTTTTTTTTTTTTTTTTTGTTTTTGTTTTTAACGCTTTTATTTTTTAAGGCTTTTTTTTTTATAGACTTTTTAAAATTATTTCTAATAACTTTATTTTTTTTTTTCTCTAATTTTTTATTTTTATTTAAATTCTTTTTAAATTTCTCAAATGTTTTTGTTAGGGAGAAAATTATATAAAAAAAAAATTAACGATTTGGAAAGTTTTAAGCATAAAAACTGATTTCTTAAAATTTAAATTTAGGTTCACTGAACTTGGTGGATTTGGCTGGCAGTGAACGCCTGAAGGATTCCGGCAGCGGCGGAAAACGCCTCAAAGAGACTCAAGCAATCAACAAATCTCTTTCGAACCTTGGAGCAGTTTTCACATCATTGGCTAACAAGGTCAGTGATTTCTTCTGGATACAGTTTTCACATTATCTATTGCTACATCGAGAAAAAAAAAAAAAAAATTGTTACATTAATTCCTGAACATGAATAATTCTTTTTAATATTGCTAATGAATTTGTGTTTTAAAATCATTTTCAATTCACTTGGCTTTTAAAAGCTCTTCATGTGATTCTTTGAGAGTCTTCTCTGCAATTCACTCAGTTTTTAAAAAGCATTTATGGTGCATTCCACTTGTAAAAATAATTTCCAATTGATTTTATAGCAAAAATCATTGGCACTGCCTTTCTATAGTAATAACTAGCAGTAGAGCCCGGCATTGCCCGGGAATGTAACAGTAAGAGATAGATCAAGTATCGACCATCATAAAGACTGAAAAATAAAATTGACAAAGATTATTGTTTAAGGTTGTTTTGTTTATTTTATTTTTTTTTTTTTTTTACGAATTGGTTAAACTCAAACAAAAGCATTGTTTTCAATCGTTATGAGTCTACCGATTGAATAGAATTTTATTCTAAACAATTGTCTTGTAAGTGGAATTTTTAAAGCATTCTAAATGTAGAAATAAAGAAAAAAAGCGTGCAAGACAATAAGAAACACTACCTGCCAAAAAAAAAAGTGAAGTTTTGTTGAAATCTGTTGAAAAATGTAGGAAATCTGATTCCATATATAAACGAACACAGACACACAAACAACCTGGGTTTTATAATAAGTATAACTTGATATGAGTTGTCCCCCTTTCATTCTCGACAGCGATGCCCCTTAATCGTGTTTTCAAATTGATTTTGTGCAAAAACAATTATTTTTCCAAATTTTGGTGCTGTCAGAACCACCGCAATTTTACGTAGTCCTGTGAAGGTTTGTTGAAATTGGTTGAAAAATGTAGGAAATCCGATCCCATATATAAAGAACACAGGCACACACACACACAACCTGGGTTTTATAATAAGTATGATTACAATTATTCGAATGCATTGCCAATGATGTTTTCTGTAGGAATGGAGTCAAGACAACTAAGAAGATTTCAGTTAAAAATTATTGCCAGTGTTATTAATGGTGAAAAGACTTTCTAATCTTTTGATAATATTTTTTTTCTAATGTACTTGTATTTTCTTTTCTTTGTCTTGTAGGAAAACCATATTCCTTACAGAAACAGCAAATTGACATACTTGTTGCAAAATTCTCTGGGAGGAAACAGTAAAACTCTGATGTTTGTCAATGTCTCACCAAGGGAAGACAACTTCAATGAGACGCTCAACTCCTTACGATTTGCCACAGCGGTAATTGTCACTTTTTGAGTTTTAAGATTTTTACAGCTGCCCCTATATGTTGTGAAGCAGCAAAAGTGGGATGAAAGATAATTTAGTCAAAAATTAGTAGTAATAATAACTTCGACAATTTCATGTAATTAAATCTGTCAACTTTAGACTTGTTTGCTATAACTTGATATTGTTAATATTTTTTTTTTTTTTTTTTTTTTTAATCAATTCACTCCAAGAAGGTTCTAATGCTTGATTAGCACTGCTCTCTTCTGTTGGTTTGGCTGTTCATATCGTGTAGCTCTCTGCCTATTATAAGATTTGTGTGATGGAGAAGTCCACACACTTGGCCAGAAGCGCCTCTCTCATGGCTCAAAGGGGATTGAGACGGGTGAGGTCTGGTTGCATCTGGCTTTTGGATGCTTGGTCTGTCAAGGTCTGCCCTGGTTACACCAGCTCAATTGGCACTGCTCTCTTCCGTCAGTTTGGCTGTTCATATCGTGTAGATCTCTGCCTATTATAAGATTTGTGTGATGGAGAAGTCCACACACTTGGCCAGAAGCTCCTCTCATGGCTCAAAGGGGATTGAGACAGGTGAGGTCTGGTTGCATCTGGCTTTTTGGATGTTGGTCTGTCAAGGTCTGCCCTGGTTACACCAGCTCAATTGGCACTTCTCTCTCTTCTGTTGGTTTGGCTGTTCATATCGTGTAGCTCTCTGCCTATTATAAGATTTGTGTGATGGAGAAGTCCACACACTTGGCCAGAAGCTCTCTCTCATGGCTCAAAGGGGATTGAGACAGGTGAGGTCTGGTTGCATCTGGCTTTTGGATGCTTGGTCTGTCAAGGTCTGCCCTGGTTACACCAGCTCAATTGGCACTGCACTCTTCTGTTGGTTTGGCTGTTCATATCGTGTAGCTCTCTGCCTATTATAAGATTTGTGTGATGGAGAAGTCCACACACTTGGCCAGAAGCGCCTCTCTCATGGCTCAAAGGGGATTGAGACAGGTGAGGTCTGGTTGCATCTGGCTTTTGGATGCTTGGTCTGTCAAGGTCTGCCCTGGTTACACCAGCTCAATTGGCACTGCTCTCTTCCGTCAGTTTGGCTGTTCATATCGTGTAGATCTCTGCCTATTATAAGATTTGTGTGATGGAGAAGTCCACACACTTGGCCAGAAGCGCCTCTCTCATGGCTCAAAGGGGATTGAGACAGGTGAGGTCTGGTTGCATCTGGCTTTTGGATGCTTGGTCTGTCAAGGTCTGCCCTGGTTACACCAGCTCAATTGGCACTGCTCTCTTCTGTTGGTTTGGCTGTTCATTGGTTTGGCCACACACTGTTCATGGCTCAAAGGGATTGAGACAGGTGAGGTCTGCTGCATCTGGCCTGTCAAGGTTGCCCTGGTTACACCAGCTAATGTCGTAGCTCTCTCTATTATGTGATTTGTGTGATGGAGAAGTCCACACACTTGGCCAGAAGCGCCTCTCTCATGGCTCAAAGGGGATTGAGACAGGTGAGGTCTGGTTGCATCTGGCTTTTGGATGCTTGGTCTGTCAAGGTCTGCCCTGGTTACACCAGCTCAATTGGCACTGCTCTCTTCCGTCAGTTTGGCTGTTCATATCGTGTAGATCTCTGCCTATTATAAGATTTGTGTTTGTAAGGCAATATTCAACTCTGTTTGATCATTGCTGCACCTCAAGGCCAAGATGGTCAAAAGAACCTTGGCTCTGATGATAGTTTCTCCTGTCAAGGGGGACACCGGTTCAAATCCTACTGGCGAGTGTATATTTTATTTTTATTTATTTATTTATTTTTTTTTTTTTCAAATATTCAGGCTGGCAGATAAATATAAATATACAGTAATGTAATGAACCACAATTTTGACATACGGAATGCTATTTGATTAAAAGAGATTGAAATGAAAGTGTCTGGAATGTGCTTTGGTTGTGATAAATTTGCGTCGAGTCTCTTATATATTGGTAGATTTTATAATCGTCACATTGTGGGATAGTCAGAGTTGGAGGTAATGGAGAGAAAAAGATAAAGAATACAGATGAATTTGGCTAGATTAAAAACAAAATATATTTAAAAAATATTTTTTGAAAAAATTTTTGGAACTACCTGTGTCTCTCGTTTCATGTGCATGTGGAGACATGGCAACATCTAAAAAGCCTAGTCCGATGAAATCCTAATGGATGAAACACGTTACCAACTCTTCCAGGTTGTCATATTGTTCTAAATACTGTTTGTTGACATAAAAAATTATACAAAGTTATATATTGTTATATCACAGTTCATTAAATAAGCAGACCGTCTACACAAACATGGCTATCCACTATAAATAACGTTTTAATAAAATCTGTCATATTAATAAATATAACACTATTTACATTATTCAGACTATTGTCCTCATCTTTGTTGCTATATTTACCACAACGTTTCGGCTGTTGTACACTCCAGCCTTCTTCAGGTGGTTGGAATGTCGAACTGAACTCTTTATTTTGCTCATTGGGGTAGACTGTTCTAGTTTCTTCAAGGACACATGGCGCAGTGGATAAAGACGTTAGTTAGATCCAGTGACAGGACCCAGAGAGTGCGAGTTCAATACCGCGTTAAGGCAGTGGAGAACTTGGAGAGGGGAATTAACAGGAGGTAACTGATAACTGACACCCATTAAACATGGTATGTGGAACTAGAACAGTCTACCCCAGTGAGCGAAATAAAGGGTTCAGTTTGACACTCCAAATACTTAAAGAAGGTTGGAGTGTACAACAGCCAAAATGTAGTGATAAATATGGCGACAAAGATGAGGACAATATTCCAAATAATTTAAATAGTGTACATAATACATCATCTCAGAAATATAGACAGATACTAATAAATAATTTTTTTTTTTTTTTAATTTTTAAAAATTTCTTTTATTTTTTATAGAAATTCATAATGATGTGTGTTCATGCATTTTTATATGCACCACAAACTCATTTATATGAAAACATAGTCTTGTCTATATAATTTTTGTATTTATTTCTTTTTTTTCTCAGGTCAACAACTGTAATATTGGAACTGCTCAGAAGAGAGTGAAGTGAAACAAAAAAGAAAAAAAAAAATCTCTGGTCGATCAAGCCATATTTCTCAGACCAATTTGTTTTTAACCCTATAGCTCACAAAGTGACTTTTATGTTTGCATCCACTCGGATATAAATCTGTGCACATGTATAGTGAATTTGGGCGTGCACGCGTTGATATACTTTCTCTCTCACCGTACCCCCCCCCACAGTTTTTGTTTATATATCATCCTTTTTTCTGTGTCTATTTTTTCTTCATTTGTTTACGTATAGTTTTCTCCACATCTTGGTTCTTGTGTATATGCATAGCTACTTTTCTCTGTGACTTTCTTTTCTCTGTGA